AATGAAACCAGCAATTCTCCACTTGTAGACCTGTAGTGGCCCAGGAAGGATTTGTATGTTATATTTCTGCCCTATTGTATGACTCTGGCTGGAATGGAGAAGTATGAGAGAGATCACTGAAGGATGACAAATGACTGGGGAGACACTGAATTGGGTTTGAGAAGCTATAGGCTTCCTTGTGGAGTTTGTGGGGGAGTTGGGGAGGATAATGTCTGGCATCCCACGAAATATATTTAAAGTCTATGCCTTCCAGTCTTTCATTGGAACTTACTTCAAATACCTATCCCTGGGTTTTTCTTTTCTTTTGTGTGTGTGGGAGGGTATGCCATAATAGAACTTAATTTTTAAGGCCACAACCCTCAAGCTTCTTGGCTTAAATTTTCTAGTTAATGGGTTAAAGATAACTGCATAACGGTCTGAGCCTGGAATTATTCATAGCGCAATGATAAAATTCTGCTGAACTTTGCAATTTATTATAGTCAGGGCATGATTGTTTGTATACCAGCCCAGCATATGGACCTAGTGGTAGTATAGTATGGAAAGGAAGCAGTTAGCATGTGCATGGAATTTGATACACACTCTAAAATTCACAATAAGATCTAAAAGTGGCTTGACCTACCGAGAAAAAGGTTACAGCTACAAGACTGTGAACTTCTCTCAGCCAACTAAATAAATCTGATGTAATATTGTTGATTGTGTTAATAGCCCTAAATAACCCTAATTATCTGTGGGGTCATTAAGCAAGCCCATAGGCAGTTTATTCTGAGAACTGTACTATGCTTTGTATTTATTCATGAATTGTAATATAAATTTTATCTTGTGGTAAAATAAATATTAAGGGAATAAGAAAGGATATGGATTCATTTATGAACCACATGTGTTGCTTTTAGTAGATGAAGTAGCATGGATTTGATGAACTCTGTTATTAATATGAATATGCTAATAGTAAGCACAGACCGCTTATCGATCAGTGATGTAATTGTCCTACAAATGGATAGAGGGGAATGATGTAATACTTATCAAGTTACTGAAGACATTGACCTTGAGCAAGATCAGGTGACTGAACATCAGGACTAGGAACAAAACATTCTTAAAAGCAAGTATGTCTGAATAGGAATGGCAGATCATATGTACAAGAGTGAATTTCAGGCAATTTGCTCATCTTTCAAAAGATGCAACACTTTCCCCAATGATTAAAGGCAGTGCTTAATAGGGAGGACTGGTTTTAACTTGTTTGTTTTACTTTTGACATCCTGTAGCATTGCACAAATAAACCACATCATTCATTTTGAAGTATTAATTCTGAATAGTTACCATTTCTATTTTCATAACAAGAATAATCTCAGATTGGAATCAATCTCCACACTGGAGAGCCAGTTTGGTGTAGTGGTTAAGAGCATGGGACTGGGACTCAGACGACCTGGGTTCTAGTCCCCGCTCAGCCATGGAGCCAACTGGGTGACTTTGGGCCAGTCACAGACTCTCAGCCCAACCTACCTCACAGGGTTGTTGTGGGGATAAGATGGAGGAGGAGATGTAAGCTGCCTTGAGCCCTTTGTAGGAAAAAGGCAGGATATAAATCAGTCAGTCAATCAATATTAGCATGAACTTTTCCACCCAGGATCATGAACTAAAAGAATTGCTTGGGTGAAGGATAGAGAATCAGCCTTTTTGGATTGCAGCCCTAAATATGCTTACTTGGAAATGAACTCCATGAAAAAGTACTGGGCCTTCTTTTCTAGTAAAGATGTTTCGCATAAAGGTATGCAACATAACTCATGTCTAATTTTAAGCTTAGAGAAGCTGGAAAAATTGATCTGTGCATTCTCACCAGTAGAGTATGTCCCTTAAATGCTTTAAAAACCTTCCTGTTAACACAGTTAAGCATATTAAGAGGTAGCTAATTAATATGAAGATAGACTACATATATTTAAGTAGAAATAGATATATTACTTGGAATTACACTGAAACAATCTTCTCTATATTTGCTTGTAAAGGAACAAATGAATCAACTCTATGTAATGCAGTATAAAAAGGATATCTCTGATAGTGTGCCAGCTGTGATGCTCTGAAGTATTTATTTTGGAAGACACAGTCCTTGACAAGATTGCATGTGTACAATGCTAGTTGTATTATTTGTGCAGCTGTTGGTTGTGGTAGCACATTCTCCCTTGCCTGAGAGTAGTTACACTTGCAGCTAACCTCTGTAGGTCATTGAGACATCTATAAAACTGCCATGAATTAGCAGTACTAATTGACCAGCATTGATAACTATGGTTTCAGAAATTAAACATCCAGTAAAATATATTCCTGCATTTGATCTGGCTTTTGGACATGGAATTGCTGTCCAATGCATCTCAGTATAACTGTTCTCAAGAGATAAGAGAGATAGTTGCATCTTTTTGTAAGTGTTGGAAGGAACAAAATTGGCAGTAGGGGATGATGGAGGAAACAGAAAAATCCAAATACTTGGCCATGAGGTCCATAGTTTAGGCTGCTGTTTGCCTATAACAGTCGATCAGTTATTAAATCAATGTTTATCACACAGAAGCATGAATACACACCCCATTTTTACTCAGCAGCCCATGATCAGCAGCTCCTGTTGAACATGACATTCAAACCCAGATAGTTGGCTTGTTTAGGGAATAGAAATACAACAGTTAACCCATCTTTAGCCTCTAAACAACCCAGCAGTCTAGGTGTCATACACAGCAATCACATGTTGCTGAGTAAAGCTGGAAAATCCTATTACTACTACTGCTACTACATTTATATCACACTTTTTTCTTCTTGGAAAGAATCTAACCCAGCTTACATAGTCCTCTTCCTCCTCCATTTTATCCTTATTACCCAAATCTGGGAAGCCTTGCAAGGCAGTGAGTTTGCTTAGTGTGCCTGACCAATAACAAATCAGTTGAGACAGCTCTTCAGAAGAAGGTAGTGTATTCCAAGAATAGAGGGGACTACACACAAGTGAGCAAATCAATTTCTAACTTGTATACTGCTGATTGAACATTATATTCCCCCTCCCACTGCTTCACCCGTTCTTCTAGTGGCATGTTCTTGCACCAGTCTTGTCTGGTTCCAACCAACGTCAGCTGCACCATCCTTGCCTCTCATGGTATTTGGGGGCGGGCGTGGGGGGCAGCTAACTTCCTTAGTTTATACAGGGATCAGCCATTATTGTATGCATGATGAGTTAGAGTGCCTCTGAGCCTTGAGGTTTCTGATCATCCTCACTACAGCAACTCTGAGGTAGGTTAGTCAGTGACTAGTCTAAAATCACCCAGTGAGCTTCATAGCTAGATGGGACCTAATACCCAGACCTCCTGTGTCTCATTTACAGATTTATTATATTGTACATATTTTAACTGTGCTTTGTAGATATAAGCTCGTTACATCTTTGTAACTTAAGGAACACAGAATGTGTTGTTTAAAATTCGGTTCACTCATAACTTCAGCATTAAAACGAAAATGTGTGATTATCTGAACAAACTTTTAAAATTAATGTATTAACACTATAATTTTATGAGCAAACCCAGTTGTACATAATACAATTGAGCTTTCTGTTTTATATCAGAACAGAGGCAGTTTAACAGATAGTTGCTGAAGCATTTGAAGTGTCCTAGAAGCCAGAAGGACCAGGCAGAGGTTTTAAGGACTGGAAGTCTGGTATGCAACACCTGCACCTGATTGTGAAGAATTGATTTGGATGAAGTTTAGGGAAATCTAGTCTGAAGGAAAAGTATATTTAGAGTTTATTTAGCTGGGAAGACTTTATTACTCATTAGTAATGGTAGCAACATGTATTTAAGTACCTTTGCATACTTTTAGGGGCAGAGCAGGGCTAGGTAACAAAAATGCTGTATTTGGGCACTGTGGCATTTTCTGTGGTCCCCCAGTGCCCCACCAATGAAATTTGGAGTTTAGCAAAAGCACATACTTGTAGTTTGCTATTGAAATGTAGCGTTATGGAAGCAGCAAACAGGGCTAAGCAAAACAAGCCTCTTTTTCATGTCTTCATTGTGCCACAGAATTATGGCAGCAAAAAGCACATTTATGCTTTTAAGAAGAGACCTTTCCACCAAACTGGTATGCCACTGGAATTTGGTGGCATATTTGGTGGACTGAGAGCTAGAGAGCAGTCCCCAGTGGGGTCGTAATACAACCTCCTGGACTCTGGAAATGGTTCACCTCTAGTATAGCGGGGTTAAATTGGTAGTGGTAATTAAAGGTTCTAGAGCTGAGGCAGTATTCCCTGAAGCCTATTTGGGAACTTTATTAAATGCTGTAGAATAGATCCAAGCCTCAGAGTTCTTGTAAAAACAGAAACATAGGTGGGATAATCCACTCATTGTTTTGCTGCTTGTGGTGTGAGTGGCATGATAGCCTCCTGGGTTTGTTTTCGTACATGTGGATTTTAGAGCAACATTCACTGACTGTTACAGCGTCTAACTAGAACAAGCCAGGAAATACTGGACTTTAAAAAAGAAAAGCTGAACGGTCAAGAATGTACATTTTCTTGACATACATCTATGGTCTTATATCATGTCATTTTTAGAAGTCATTTTGGTATGGTAAAGGTTGGCTAGCAACATGAACATTTAATTCATTATTCTGAAAAAAAAAATTCATAATCCACATTAAAAAGAAGGGGTCTGTGCAAAAGATGGTAAAGATCTTCCCCTACCCTAATTATTTTTTCAGATCTTTTCTATTATTTCTGAGATCCTGGAGTTTTATATGCCCTGTTGTTTCATCTCTTGTTTTATCTGCAGAATTTGCTCTTTATTTTTGAAGGGTGTGATAATGCAGAGCAATAATATTAAATTGTGAGCCACCTTAAAAATCTATAAGAACTGTAAAGTAGGATATAAATTACTCAGCAAAATAATTGAACTAAACCATAGGGTTTTTAGAAGTAAAAACCTGATAATGGAGTTTTGCTTTGTAATTTCCAGCTTAAGTTCTGAAAAATATTCTTGATCCTCCTCCTCCAGGTCAGTTAGCAGAAGTTGTATATTTGAAAGCCAAGTAGAAAATTCTAAAGAAGTTTGTTCAGGCTGACATGGTGAGTAAATAGCTTTCCCTCTCTCTCTTAATGACAAACTTTCAGGTCTCACAAAGAAAGCTATATATCTTCCAGATATGATAAACTAAGATCAGAACGTACAAGGAAGCTATTTTAAAGAGTCCAAAATTTACAAAATTGCAAGCTTTGTGCAAGTTTTTAAGTTCTCCAAAACTCTTCATCTGGCTTTCTGGTGATGCAAAAAGCACAGCATGGGTGAAGAAATGGCAAATTCTAAAAATTTGTGCTGATGTATCCCTGTGGTCTGCAGTTCAGTTTGACCCCATCTCACAATGAGAATTTACACTCTGAATGTATTAGGGACAATCCTGTGGAGATGAGCACAAGCCCCCTAACTCAGAGGGTCATGCTAATCCAATGCAGAGTGGGAAAAATGGCAGAGGCCTTCTTGTTCTTCCCAGTCTGCATATTTTCAAGACAGTCATTTTCAACCATTGAGCAACGGCATTTCAGAGGGAGAGAGGAGGAGGGTGGTGAGGCCTTTAGCCTGACTTCCCTCATCCCTTCTCCTCCCTGCCCTGCTAAATGCTCCCGCCTACCCGTCTACAAAGAACTTGGAGAGCAGTCAGCAAGGTTTTTCTGCACCGGCTGCAACAGGTCAGGGGCAATCAGAGGTCTGATTCTAAGGTCAGTATACAGTCTCTGACTTGACATCTAGGAATCCAAGAATCCTATGAGCCTTCAGTGTGTAGGAGCTGTAGGATCACTCCTAGAATGTGCTGTCCTATGCACATTTAGACAGAAGAATGTTCTCCTACTCCTAGCAAGGCCGAGTGGGTATGCTGGGAGTTGTAGGTCTTTCTTCTGTCTAAACATACATAGGATCCCTTAGTTAGTCAGTGGTACGTGTTGCAGATATCAGGTTATGCTTAGCAATGCATTTTGATATGGAGATAGGTGCTTGCTTCTCTATTTCTACTTAAGTCTGGGTTTTTTCTTTCTTTCATTGAGTGAACCACACAGGTCCCTGAGTTGACATGGAACAGAAGTGTAGAGAATTTTTTTTTAATATTAGCAAACCTGGAAATTGATTGCACCATCTAAAATTATTGTATTGTAGAGAAAAAAAATATTCTCATGAAGCAGCACAGCTTTCTTTGTTAGCTTATGGAAAGAAAATTATCCTGATTTAAATAACCTGGCAAACTTAGTCTCCTGCTTTGGATTTTTTAATTTCCTAATTTGGAATATGGTACCAACTTTTTTTGAAGGAAGTTTTCAAAGGAGGTATTCATTAATATATAGCTATATCATATGTAGGGAGCAGGTACTTCTGCTTCAAAAAACATTTTCCATCTGTGAAATGGCTTTGGAATAGGTTTCAATAAATTTGAAGGACCGCATATATTTTACTTGAATATTTTCTACTAAAGATTCCTACAGTGAATTGAGATAGACCATACTGCTACTAAGAAAAGACCTGCTTTTTGTACACAGCACTCATTTTTTAAAAAGTACTTTCTCCCATTTTCCTTTCTTTTTCTCCTCTATTTCTAAAGAAATACAGAAAATGCATTTTTGCAGCATTCTCCCCTGTCATGTCATGAGCAAATTGATGTGCCTATCTGAAAGATATGTCACAACCTATCAGTTTATTTCTTTGAGATCCATTAACAATCATTCCTTTTATGTGAATATGGATAGTGCCATTCAGCTGAAACAAAAAATATTAATCATAGTTACACAGCATTGTAGAAAAGACTCCCATACTGGAATAAATGTATTTTCCATGTTTCTGCCATGATAATCAGTACCAAAAGCTACCATGCAGACTATAGTGGACACATTTGTATTGATGATTTTGTGAAGGTACTTCATGAACCAGCAAAATGTTACTCTAGGTTTTGTGATCATACATTTTTTTCTAAAGTATTCTGAAAGATACTACTGTTTCATGTGCGATCATGTGCTATGGAAATGGGAAAGTGTGGAAAATGATTGTGGGAGTCATTCTTAACATGAAATTACATTGGTTTTTGAACTAGAAGGAGTAGGAACTTCATTTATCTTAACAATTGTACTTGCACTCATATTGTTGAAACCTTGGAAACTAATGGCTAATCTACAGTATAGTTTACTGCAACTGAGAGTTCATTTTGTTTCAGAGGGCATGATCTGAATTTAATTTTTCACCTGGTACTTTCACTTTATAAATATATATATTATAAATACATATGTCAATATGTAACTATAAAGGGAGCAGGCAGAGATCTCCACCTTAAAAAATTCATAAAACTTACTTTTATGTTAATACAGCAGTTGGTTATCCAGTCTGTTGTGACCAGTCATCTTCCCCACCTTCCAAACACTTAATGGCAAAAAGCTTTCCATTTGCCTGCATAGCTATGCATTGAGCTAGCATGTCAAGTCACCTTTGCTAAGCTGGAAATGTGTAGGCCTGCAGCTGGCTGGATGACCAGAAGTGAAAGCAGAGCAGGGGTTAAACTAAATTGTCTTATAGGTGTCTTCCAACTCTAATTCTGTTCTGATCATTATTATACTAAAGTTTACTGGGTATACTAGATTTTTTATATGAAAGAGTATTGTAGAAGTTAATAACAAAAGAAACAAGTAAAGTTAGAATATCAGTCCTTAGAGAAATGTGGCTTAGTAATAGCAAAATGAATACCTCTACTCCCTTCCAAAGTCCCTCTTGCCAAAAACAAAAACCTGACTTTACCTTCAGAGTGGATCATGCTGCTTATACACAGAGAATGAAGTTAACTCAGAATTTCAGTCTCCAGAGATTTTTGTGCAAGGGTACATTTTCTCGGGGCCTTGTGATAGTCTGAAGAGTGTCTGTGCTTGAATATTGCAAATATGTTTTGGATGCCACATCAATCAATAACTTTCAGTGTAGGATCTGCTGTAGACTATTGGTGTTGACAAGTGCTAAACATATGCATAAAGATAATAATCTTGCTTGCTGCAACTATCTGTGACACATAAATTAATCTGTGTAAGAATATCAGTTTACTGAACTGCATTGATCAAATAAGCATGGCCTTACGGTCTTGATGAGAAGTCAACCTACTTATCCTAATATATGTTTACCCATTAAAACACACACACACACACACACACACACACACACACACACACACACCAGTATGTCTTCATAATCTGTTTTTAAGCAGGGCATGAATGATTTTAAGTTTTCTCCCTCTATTTTTAAATAAACTAACCAAACAATTGATGTTTGTTCTGCATTAAATGATCTAACCATGCAGTATGGTGTTTTTTTAAAAAATTTAGAGTTCTTGTCTAAATAACTTGAAGCAGTGTTGAAGTTTGTCTAAATCTGCTTTCACCATTACATATTAACTTCTATTACTGCTTAACTTTGAAAGTAGAAGGGTAAAAAATTACTAACCCAACCCAGAAGAGTAGTTTTTAAAATTTAATCTAAACCTGTGTTCTGCTTCCACACACAGCTACCATGTGTAGGAAGTCTATATGTAAGACATGTATTCAACAGCTGTTTGTCCCTCAACATCTTATAGTTATCTTAAGTACAGATAGTCTGATAGTCTGAATAAAGTGGCTCTCTCATGGCTGTCTTCAGGTTTTTATTGGTCCTTGGGCAGCAGAGTTTAACTTGACAATTGTGGTCCTGGTCAAACCACACCACTCCCACTTTAGTTACATCCATTTAATTGAAAGCAAATCTTGTCCAAGATAGCACACCCATTTCAAGGAAAAACAATATAAATTTTTGAACATCAATTTAATTTTTTGTGAATGATTTATAAGAAAAATGATTTATTCAAATGATAAGACTACATCAAGATTCTTATACTATGCCATGAAACTTAAATTGCAGTTTTCCTAATGTGGAGCAGTTCCATCTTCCTTTAGGACTTCCACCATTCAACACATGTAAGCTATGTTATTCTTCATGGTCTCTGTGCATCACACATATGGGCTCTTTGTGCATGCATGGAGTGGTTTTCTGAAAAATTCTAAAGCTGATTAAATAGCATTTGGCAGGAGCCCACCCCCAAATGCAGCTAGCATGAAGGCAGGGCTCCCTCCGAGACCTCAGTTCTTTGACAGTCATCTTGTGCGCATCACGAAATTAATCTCTGACTTACTTCACGAGTTACACTGAGATAACAACTGCCTGGTCAGGTCTTTCTCTTTCTCTTCTTTTTTGTCTTCTCCCTGCTACTTGAAGCAAAAAAAAAAAAAAAGGTTAGAACTATACACTGGAACAGCGGTACACTGAGGCCCTTTTGTCGCGCCTCCTCAGCCAGAGAAGATGGCGCCCAAGGACACATTCCACAATTGCACCATATGTGGTAGCAAACTTCCCCTGATGGATGGTCACTCCCATTGTCTTTTCTGCTTGGGAGAGTTGTACATTGTTGAATCTTGCTATCATTGCCATACTTTTACAAAGCAGGCAAGAAAACACTGAGCTGACTGTTTAAAGGTGGAACTTTGGAGCCGACCTTTGGCTCCCGCAGCGGACAGCTTGCCAGCCCCTCCGACCCTCACAAGACCAAGACAAACCGGGACAATCGTTGGACCCTTTTCTACCTCCAAGAAGCACTTTGGTGTCAGAAGGAGAAATCTGAGAATCACTGGCTCAGCTTCCTAAACTGGATCATCTCTCAGTACAGAGACGAGTCTTTTCATCGCCCTTGGTCCTGAGTGTGCTTCTCCAATCTGAGCAGCACAGAGCTAGCCATTGCTCTCGATCACCCTTGGCTCAGACTCCTCGCCAGAAGCATCAGTGTCCCCCAAAATGCCAAGGGGACTTCAATTCTGAGTTTTATGTGGAATGATGAGGATCCATCCATTCCAGACAAGGGTCGCATTGGAGCCCTTCAAGCTCAGAGAACAACCTCTTACGGGGTCCTAGCTATCGCAGCCCACTGCAACAACCTGCTTGAGACCCTGATAATATAATACGTTTCTTGGATAGACAACTTCCATCTTCCTTACTTAGCCAGCATACAGACAGAACCGAACAT